AATGTAAATAAGTACATATATTACATTAGAGTAGCATTTCTTTCATGATCCAGGTTCACAGGGAGATTCTATTATGTTTTCATTCATTGCTATGTACCTGAAAGTTCCTGCTATCAAGGCTACACTGTGAAGCATTTCTCTTTTGATAACCTGGAATCCTTTGTGTAAGAATACTACTTGTTATTCATTAGTGATGTCATCTCAATTTGTGGAATATATTGATAGGGATGTTTATATAACAACCTCAATTTGTTTAATACATATAGTGTTTACTCAGATGTTTGCTGTTTTACTACATTTTGGAAATATGCACATTTTAGGGATTTTTTGTTTCACATGGATATTAAATTGTATTTATAAAATGGTTTCATACTTTTTGATATCTGCTAAAACCATAAGATATTCCTACATTTAATCTAGAAAAAAATTGTGTACCTTCCCCTGTTCTTTCTTAAATAGTCTTTTATCAATTTTATTAATTGTCTTCAGTAAAAATATCTTGGATTTGCCGATCGTCTAGACTTACTTAGTGTCATGATTTTACATTATTTGATTTTCACTTTGTTCTACTTCACTTGAATTTAATTTCAGCTTTTTTCCTTTTGTTTTCTTTTGATGCATGCTCAGATAACCAGTTCTGATTTAATTTTTTGCAACACATGAATTTAAGTCAACCAATTTTTCACAAGAAAGGCTTGTGCTCTATTTTAGTCATTATTCATATAAAAATTGTGACTACCCATTGTGGTAATTTCTTTGGCTCATACTTTCTTTAGAAATATATGACAGAATTAAAAATTATGTAAGTTTTCAAATTTTGGGTTATTGACTTCCATATAGGATAAGTGTAGCTAACAGTATTTTGAGTGAAGCTGAAAATGTTCTACATGTGTGTTCAAATGTGGCTGGTGTGCTGGAGGAACTGATTTTAAATGTTATTAATTTTCAATAATTATGATTAGAATACTAATAACTGCATTTCAAGTGTCACTGGCCAAGCCACTATTTGAGATTATAGTATATCTTGGACAATTGCCATGAGAACTTAAAAATGTGAATACTCTGTATTAGTGTAGAGTGTGTATGTATGTGTGTGCATGTGTATGTGTGTAATGGTTAATTGTCTAGTTTAAATCTTTCTACAGGCTCAGTGATGTACCTGTGTAACAAGCATTGAGACAAAATTGTTTAGTACATGTTTATGATTGTTCATTCATTCACTCCTTTCAATTCTATGTTGAAATAGGGTTATTAGGTACATATATATTCTAAAAGCTTAAAACTAATAGTTTGAAAAATAAGTCAATCATTATTAAATTACATTTCCAATCATGATTATTGTGTGATATAATGACATTAAATTAACCATAGCAGTTTTATTCCTGGTTGTTTTGCATTGTGTTATGTTTTCATTTTTTTCTCTTAATTTTGTTTACCTTTTTAAATTTCAAAATATTACAGGGATACAAAATTTTGTTATATGGATACCTTCTGTCATGCTTAAGTCAGACCTTTTGTTGTGCCTATAACCTGAATAATGTTCATTGTACCCAATAGGTATGTATCTATTCCTCACTCACTCACTATTCCCCCTTCTTTGTTTCCGATGACCTTCATATCTCTTTGTGCCTGTGTGTACCAATCGTTTAGCTTAAACTTATTAATAGAAACATCTGGTGTTCAGTTTTCCATTTCTGTGCTACTTCACTTTAGATAATAGTTTCCAGTTCTATCTAAGTTGGTGCAAAAGACATTATTTCATTTATTTTAGGGCTGAGTAATACTCCATGCTATATACACACCTCATATTTTCTTTATCCACTAATGAATTGATGGACACTGAGGCTGATTCCACATCTTTGCAATTTTAAATTTTGATGCAGTAAACATCGAAGTGCTGCTCTCTTTTTATCAAGTGATTTTTTTTTACATTTATTTCCCTTCAGATAATAGTTTCCAGTTCCATCTAAGTTAGTGCAAAAGACATTATTTCATTTATTTTAGGGCTGAGTAATACTCCATGCTA